CCCCCCGCCCAGCTTTCATCTCGGCCGCTCATCCGCTTGAATGAATTGTGAGAGCCACCTCTGCATGTTGCGACAGGTTCTGCTGACTCTGACGTTGCCGACGAGCAGAAGAAAGAGAAGATTACCGAGTTAAGAACAAAGGAGAAAAAACTTCACGACGCCCTGAAACAGAAACTGGAGGAACTGAAGAAGATCTGCATGCGGGAAGCGGTTAGTCTGTCAAGTCTTCCACTCTCGATGAATGTTATTCATTCAGAAAGGTCAATCATTCGAGCTGATATGTTCGAAGCGCCGCTGCATAGCAAATCGCTAGTCCTTAGCGGGAATCAGTCGGCGGCAGTTTTAGAAAAGGCGGAGACCGCCGCTGCGAAGCATCCTAATTGGAAGGTGACTTGTTTGTTCTCGTTTGCAGGAACTGACAGGCAGATTACCGAAAGAGTATCCCTTGGTTACCGGAGAGAAGACCCCTCACGTCCGAAGACGTGTTGGCACAGAGTTCAAGCTTAACGACCTTTTCCCAGATCACGAGGTGCGACCAAAAGGCCGTTTCTCTCGATTTTTTTTTTTTTTTTTACAAGGATGCATTGTTGACTTTGCTCATTTCCAATTGTCTCTGTTTCACTTTTACCCTCAGGACCCTCATTTGAGGAATCTGGAAAGCAGATTTGCTTTGCAGCAGAAGATCGTGGAAGCAGCCATCAAGTTAACCAAGGAGATGGATCTCAGCAAGACGGTGAAGAAAAAGAGGAAAAACAACTGTCTGGATGCGATGAGAAAACTGGAGGAGATTGAAGGGGAGATCAACGCCTATCGGATCAGGACGGGAAAGAAACCCAGCCAAAGGGCTTCGCTGATCTTGCCAGGTAGCATCAATACACCGCAGATGGCGCGCAAACGTGAGACGGGCAATCGTTGGATGCTTCTTTTGCTGTTAACGCGGATCCTTTTCGGCGTTTGAGAAAACCGTTTTTCCTCTTGTCATTTTTAGACGACGTCAATCCATCAGAGCTGAGCTCTCTGTCTGACAGCTTCACACTGGATGAAGGTAATGACCCATTTTTGATCAGATGCCAATTTCTGGAGCATGCATCGGGTTCAAGCGAGCCTCTTTGACCTCCCAGATGACGAGCTGAGCTCCCAGAGGCAGCGCTCGAGTTCACTTCAGTACTCCCCGAGGCCCCACCATGCGGAGACACTGGGCATCCACTGCGGCAATGAGAGACGAGCTTCGGCGAACGACCAGCAGGTAGACGGCAGGTACGTATCACCTGTGGTCCAAACAATATTAATATTTGGACATCTGCTGCTTTTGTGTGTGTGCGTGTGTGTGTGTGTGAGTGCGTGCGTGCGTGGAGCTCGTCCAGACCTGCGAAGCCTCTCCAGGTCTGCATTCCTGCCAATTGCCACAAACCCCGCCCCCCTTTGAAAAATCTCCCCCTTATTCGTCCAAATACACTAGTTTTAAAAATAGAATGAAAAGAACGTGCCGATGCCCATGAGGACGTAACCAACAATAACCATACGAGGTGGGGAGAAAGGACGAGCGAATCATTAACGCGGTATTGCGTCACAGTTGGCTTCTAGTTGCCGCAACGCATTCGGATGTGAACTGATTCTAAGCAGTCACAATGTAAGATGACCTGAATGCTGTATTCAAGGTGACGCTGCACTCCTTTCATGGGTTGGCCGGGCTGAAAAGAACAGAAAGGTAATCCTTCCCTGTGTTGCAGGTTAAATTACAGTCCAATCCAGGAAGCACTCCGCCACAGTCACCACGATGCCTTGTTCAGCCACAGCAGTCCACACAAATCGGTTTCCAGACAGCCTCGTGATGCCCGCAGTATGCCCCCGACTCCGCTGCTCACACGCAATGCTTACAGCAGTACCCAGCTCAAGTATGTCGGGGGGTTTTTTTGCATTCCTTAATATGAACCCGTCTGGTCAAAGACGGATGCATGATGATCGGATTTGATTTCTGCGTTCGCCACGTCCAGATCAGAGGAGGCACCGCAGCTTTTTCGCCAACGGAGCGGGAGTCTGGAGTCCCAGTCCAAGGTTCTACTGGAGCCCGAAGCGCGTTTGCCCGCGTTCAACTTGTCCCCATCCCGGCGCAGCAACAGCACCGAGGTACTCGATGACGGCTCGTCCTACACCAGCCAGTCCAGCGTGGAGTACGCAGTTCCCGGGAACCACAACCAGCGACGTCGAGTGCGCGGCCGCCACAGGAAAGGCATATACGCCAACGCGGGCAGCATGCCCAACTTGGCTCAGCCGGAGGCCCACTGCTACGCCTACCGGCCCCGCGCTCGGCCCACCACTACTGCCTTCTACATCACGGGCTATCCGACCCATATGGAGCCAGAGCCTTACTCGAATGGCGTCTGCGTGTACGACAATGAGACGGAGGGACACTACAGCGTCAATCCGCCACTGCGTCCTGCCCACGCGGCCTATCGTGCCTATGATGTGCACGGTCGCTATGGCAACGATGAGCTCGACGGCACGTCTCAGAACCCGTACGCCACGCTTCGGCCGCCCAGGCACCGCCCGGCTCCCCGCGGCGAAGCCCAGATCTCGAGGAACTTTCAGAAGGCCGTCGTGGCCGAGCACCTGAGAGGCTGGTACCATCGCAACACGGCCTACAAGCAGCCCGCGTACAGCTACGACTACGACTACGACCAAGGCTCCCAGCAGAGTCTCAGCTACCGAATCATGCCTGCACCCTTCAGCCACAATAACAACCACCGGAACCACTCCTACTCATCAGGTTAGACGGGTCTCTGGGCCATGGCAATCAGCTAATCCTATGTTGACATCCAGTTAGTCCAGCATTAACTGGTGGCACTTGCCGATGTTCTCAGGTTCCTCCAATGGAAATTGGCACGGCCCTATCAGTGGTCACGGTAGAGCGGGTTGTGACATGCCCAAGCAGATGCCGCAGACGTACAGCTACAACACCGCTCCTTTTGGCCGCTCCACCCAGGGCAGGTAAGATGCAAAAAAACGTATGCCTTCATCCCATGAGCCACTCCCTGATGCAACATTTTCAATACGAGGTTTGGTGTTCTCCTCGTGGACCCATACAGGAACAACAATGTGCAATAATGTACTGTATGTGCAGCGTAGCAATTTTTTTTTTTTTTTTTTTTAACTGCACAATTACAAAAGAGTGTTCTCCACAGATCTTAAAAATGCGTCTGCCCATACAAGTCCCCTGTGCTGGCTTTCACATAGATGTGGCCCCCCTGACAGCACTTTACTATTTCTTGGCACAGCCATAACGGCCGGGGACGCCGCGTCTTTTCTCCCGCAAGCTCTCCCTCTTCATTTCCCCCGTCCTGCCTTCCCTCCTCTTCGTCCTCCCCTGGCTGGCAGGACGTCCAGCAGCGAGGAGGTTCAGGCCTCTACGGGGCACAGGCCCAGTACGGTGCTCCTTGCTGAAGGTAGCTCATAGTAAGTAGACAAGCCACGGCCGCAGCCGATGCCTTCGCTGCTATCGTCAGCTTGTTGCCAGTGTTTGGAAGTGAACCTTGCACCCGAGATGTTTGACTGACTGCTCAGTGTCATGCCCGACGCGGTGATCGCATGGCTGTGTCGCACATGCCCCACTTCTCCCGTAATTGACGTATTGGCGTCCAGCGCATCCAGCATCCAGCGGTCGCATTCCTCTGCAGTGTGCTTTGTTTTTTTTTTTGTTTTTTTGCAGAGGCCCCCCTGCTCACGTGCTGCCATTCACCCTTTTTGTCCACACATGCAGATTTCTCCCAAAGTTTCAATGGCAAAGTGGCAGGCCCCGCGAGGCCTCGACAGAGGTGTACCCAAACTACAGACCAGAAAAATTGAACCCCTTTTTTTCCAATAACAGAAGTGATTAAAAAAAGGATGAGAGACAATAATGTGAACTAGTGATCGGGGTCAGGTGACCTGATTGGCAGAATGCTCCCAAGAGCTTTCTTTTATTCCTTGCCGAATTCTCATTCAGTCATTCTGAGTGTTTTTGTGGTTAGGGAGCACTCAAGTGGCAGAGGGAAAATGTGGCCCCTGAGCATTGTTGGATTCCATTGCTGTGTGTGTGTGAGTGTGTGGTATTTACTGTTCCGCTACGTGGAAATATTTGACTACGAGTGGCTCTAGCACAGTCCGGCACTGATTGCTTGATGCTGCGACAAGGAAGGGAAAGTCAAATGTGGATGGACCCTTTCACGCATGTAGCATACATTGGACTTCTCGGGGGGTCAGATGCATTTGGACCAACTTCCAAGAGAAATAAAGTTTGGGGGAGGGGGGGGTGGTTGAGGGTGACCGTGAGATGACAAGAAACGTTGCCGTCTGCTGCGCACGTGTGAACGAGGCTCCTCGGTCACACCAAGAGCTGCTCCGCACTGATCGTGTTGTTCTATTTTCTTCTGATTTCAGATCCCCCATGGACGTCAACCAGACGGAGATGCGCAACCAAACGCCAACAAGCGTGGACCCACAAGATGGCATACACTGGCACGAAGACTCCGAACCAGGAACGATAGTTTAGCTGCCTGTCATTCCATCCTTTTTTGCATGACAAAGCTGTCCCTGTGCCTTCGACTGCACTTACCTGTTTTTCTGAGCAAGGCGAGCCAAAGAATGAAGGAATTTACACACACACACACACACACACACACACACACACACACACACAACACACACACATTGTGCGCGCGCTCGC